CACCAGCCGGGCACTGGCCCCGTCTAGGGCTGGGCATCACCCCCCCCTGCATATACCCCAGCCGCGCATCGCCCCCCTCCAGGGCTGGGCATCACCCCCCACCCCCGCGCCAGCCGGGCACTGGACATCACCCCCTGCACATGCGCCAGCTGGGCACCTCTCCCCTCCAGGGCTTGGAATTGCCCCCCCACACATGCGCCAGCTGGGCACTGCCCCCGTCCAGGGCTGGGCATCGCCTCCCCGCACACGCACCAGTTGGGCATCGCCCCCTTACAGGGCTGGGCATTGCACCCCCCTGCACATGCGCCAGCAAGGCACCGCCCCCTTCTAGGGCTGGGCATTGCACCCCCCTGCATATGCCCCAGCTAGGCACCACCCCCTCCAGGTCTTGGCATTGCCCCCACGCACCCGCACCAGCCGGGCACTGGCCCCGTCTAGGGCTGTTCATTTCCCCCACACACATGCGCTAGCAGGGCACCGCCCCCTTCTAGGGCTGGGCATCACACCCCCCTGCATATGCCCCAGCTGGGCATCGCCCCCCTTCAGGGCCGGGCATCTCCCCCCCCCCCTCCCTGCCCCCCAGCACACGCGCCAGCTGGGCATGGTTCCCTGCACACTCACAGCCGAGCTTTGTGGCTCCCTGCCGGGCACCGCCCGCCGTCCTTTCCCTGACTCGGTTGCTCTCTCCGCGCAGGGCAATCTGGCCGTGACGGTGACGTACGGGGGGGACCCCGTGCCCAAGAGCCCCTTCACCGTCAGTGTGGCCCCTCCCCTGGACCTCAGCAAGGTCAAAGTGCAGGGACTGAACAACAGTGAGTGGGGGCAGGGGAGCGGGGGATGGGCTGGAGGGGCTGGAAAATGCCAGGGTGATGGTTGAACAGGGTGCGGGAGGAGTGGGCACAGATGGAGGGGGCACCACGATGTGTGGCAGGTGAGTGGGCTGAGTGGCACAGTGGGGCGTGGTGGGCTAGGGGCTGGCACTGTGGACATGGTGGGCAAGGGGGTGGCACCATAGGGTGGGGCAGTGGCATGGTGGGGTGTGCCGGGTGAGGGGGTGGCCCCGCAGAGTGTGGTGAGTGAGGGCATGGCAGGCAAGGGGGTGGCACCCATGGGGTGCGGCAAGTGAGGTGGTGGCACCGTGGGGCGTGGCAGGTGAGGGGGTGGCTCTGTGGGGCACACTGGGTGAGGGTGTGGCACAGTTGGGCGAGGCGGTGGTGGTGGGGCATGGGTGAGGGACTGGCACCATGGGGTGTGGCGGGCAAGGGGGTGGCACAGTTGGGGTGCAGCGGGCGAGGACTTGGCACCATGGGGCAAGGCAGGGGCATGGTGGGGCGTGGCGGGTGAGGGCGTGGCACCATGGGGTGTGGTTGGGGCGTGGCGGGTGAGGGCGTGGCACCGTGGGGTGTGGTTGGGGCGTGGCGGGCAAGGGTCTGGCACTGTGGGCATGGTGGGCGAGGCGGTGGGGTGTGGCGGGCGAGGGGCTGGCGGTGTGGGTGAGGGGGTGGCCCAGTTGGGGTTTGGCTGGTGAGGGCGTGGCGCTGTGAGGCGAGGCAGGGGCAGGGTGTGGTGTGGCGGGCAAGGGGCTGGCACTGTGTGGCGTGGCGAGCGAGGGGCTGGCACCGTGGCGTGGCTCTGTTGCCCTGACGCTCTCGCCCTGCAGAGGTGGACGTGGGCCGGGACCAGGAGTTCGCAGTGAACACCCGCGGTGCCGGGGGGCAGGGACAGGTGGACGTGAAGATCACCTCGCCCTCTCGCCGGCCCATCCCCTGCAAGGTGGAGACGGGCACCACCAACGACATCCACACCGTCAAGTACATGCCCCCCGAGGAGGGGCCCTACAAGGTGGACGTGGCCTACGACGGGCCCCCCGTGCCGGGCAGCCCCTTCTCTGTCGAGGGGGTGATGCCTCCGGACCCGTCCAAGGTGAGCGGTGGGGGCTGCCTGTGGGCCGGGCACCATCTCCTGTCGCCCTGTGACCCCCAGAGGGGGTAGTGAGCCACGGGTGGAGCTGCTCCATGCCCAGCTGCTCGGGGTCACCCCGGCTCCCCCGCCCGCTGGGTCTGCTCTGTGGCTGGGGTGTGTTCACGGTGCCCCCCAGCTTCCCTCTCCATTCCAGGGGGCTGTGCTCCCGGCTCTCACACGGTCCCACGCACGGCAGTGAGGAATTGACCCCCGTGCTCTGGTGCCAGGCAGAGAGCGGGCATTGCAGGACACAGGAGGACGCTGCCCGGCTAAGGAGATGCCAGGCAGTGTCCCAGGCTCAGAGGCCGGGGCGGAGAGCTGGGCCTGATCGGGTCCTTCCCAGCCTGGTCCCTGGGGCAGGATCCGGGATCACTTTGAGGGGCAGGGTCTGCCCCTGCCCAGCCAGGCTGGGGTACCCCCTGTACCATGCAGGGAGAGAAGACATTGCTGGCAGCTGCCCCGGAGCCGTTCCCGCCCAGCTGACGTGCGTCCGCTCCCGTTTTAGGTGTGCGCCTACGGGCCGGGCCTGGAGGGCGGCTTCGTGGGCAAGCCGGCCCCCTTTGCCATCGACACCAAGGGCGCGGGCACTGGCGGGCTGGGCCTGACCGTGGAAGGCCCGTGCGAGGCCAAGATCGAGTGCCAGGACAACGGGGACGGGTCGTGCTCCGTGTCCTACCTGCCGACGGAGCCGGGCGAGTACTCCATCAACATCCTCTTCGCCGAGGCCCACATCCCTGGCTCGCCCTTCAAGGCCAACATCCAGCCACTCTTCGACCCCAGCAAGGTGACAGCCAGCGGGCCGGGGCTGGAGCGCGGCACGGCGGGCGAGACCGCCACCTTCCTGGTGGACTGCTCCAAGGCGGGCGAGGCCGCGCTCACCATCGAGATCGTCTCCGAGGCAGGGGTCAAGGCCGAGGTGGTGATCCAGAACAACCGCGACGGCACCTATACCATCACCTACAGCCCCGCCTTCCCCGGCACCTACACCATCACCATCAAGTACGGCGGGCACGCCGTGCCCAAGTTCCCCGCCCGCGTCAACGTCCAGCCCGCCGTCGACACCAGCGCCGTCAAGGTCTTCGGGCCCGGCGTGGAGCCGCGAGGTGAGGGTCCTGTCTGTCTGTCCCCAATCACCCTCATTTACCTGTCTATCCCCAGACACCCCATCTACCAGTCTGTCTGTCTGTCTATCTATCTATCCCTGTACACCTCCTCTCTCTCTTTCTATCTCTCTATCCATCCCTGTATACACCTCTCTCTCTCTCTCTGCCCCACAAGCCCCTCTATATGTCCCCACACACGCACACCTCTCCCCCTCTCTGTCCCCATACCCCCCTCCCGTATGTCCCCGTACCCACCCTCCGGGTGTGGCCAGGCCAACCTGCTCCCTCCTGCAGGGGGCTGCCTGGGGTCCTTTCCCAGACCCCGTGGCCAGTGCAGCTCTGCTGGGCTCCGGGGTGGGATGGGGGCCCCCAGGGCCCATTGCCAGGGAAGGGGGTTCCACCGAATGCCCTGGCGGGTGACACCTTGGCCAGGATGCTGGCAGCTGATTGGCACAGCCTGGGCTCCAGCGCTCCCATAGGCTGGTGCGGCTTTCTCTGGGGGGCAGCAGCGGCCCCGGACTGGCACTCACCGCCCGCTTGCTCTGCCAGGCGTCCTGCGCGAGGTCACCACTGAGTTCACCGTGGACGCCCGCTCGCTCACCAAGACAGGCGGCAGCCACATCAAGGCGCGTGTCATTAACCCCTCTGGCGCAAAGACCGAAACCTACCTCACTGACAACGGTGACGGGACCTACCGTGTCCACTACACGGCCTACGAGGAGGGTAAGGAACCCTGCCCGCCGACAGGCCCCCCACATCTCCAGCTCTGCGCCAGGCGGGTGGTAGCCCTGCACTTTCAGACAGCACTATATAGGCCCAGGGTCAGGGTAATTATCCCCAGTGTAGAGGGGGAAACTGAGGCACACCTGCGGGTGCAGCAACCGAGCCTCAGGTCCTGCTATGAATCAGTGTCAGAGCTGGGAAGGCTGGGACGCCGTGGCTGAGACGGGGAATGATTTATTGCTGGGACGTAGGGAGCAGGTGCCCTGGGCCGGGCAGGCGTTCTGGTGCCCCAGGCCCTGCCAGCTGCCCTGAGGCTGTGACTATTGTTAGAGCCGCCAGGCGAGCTCCGGCCCGGGCGGGGCCCCGGGTGCACCTGTCGCCTGGGAGCTGGGTCCATGGCCCGACCCTGGCGGGGGGTGGCTGTGGTGGATTTGGGGGTTCCTGAAGGAGGAGTTCACTGGGGTGGGGGTGGGGCAGGTCCCAGCACAGCTGTGGGGGGGAGGGGGTGTCCCAGGGGCCTCTATATCCCATGGGGATGCCTGGGCTGGAGGGGAAGGACCCCATGTCAAACCTGGCTGGGTTTCTCGTGATGGGGAGCGGAGACCAGGGCCCCCCCCACCTCCAAAATCCCAGTGGGGTCTGGGGGAACAGCACCCCTTGGGGACAGAGGGCTGTCATGGCTCCCTGCCCCCCAGTTGGCATTGCAGGCATTGGGGGGGGCTTCCTGACCCCTGTATGGAGCTGGGGGGGGGATGGGGTGGGGGCAGGAGCAGTTCCTGATCCCTCCCCGCCCTGTCTGGCCCACCAGGCCTGCACCGGGTGGAGGTGACGTATGACGAGGTGCCAGTCCCCAAGAGCCCGTTCCGCGTGGCCGTCGCCGAGGGCTGCGAGCCCGGTCGTGTGCGCGCCTACGGCCCCGGCCTGGAGGGGGGGCTGGTGAACAAGTCCAACCGCTTCACCGTGGAGACCAGGTACCGTCCCGCCGGGGAGAGGGGAGACCAGGGAGCCGCCGCGGTCACGGCCCAGGCCAGGGGTGGGGGATGGCTCCCCAGGTCCTGTTCCCACACCGCTCCCTGCCCCGTGAGGTGGGCAGCTCCTGTGGTGTGAAAGCCCCCAGAGGGGACGGGCACAGCCCTGCGGGAAGGAAGACCCCGTCTTGGCACTGCTGGCCGGCCCGTGGCCTGGCCCCGGAGGTCCGGCTGGGGACTCTGGGTAACAGCATAGGGCCAGGACAGATGCTTACTAAATGCTTCCGCCCCGATCGGCCTGTGGAACTCCCTGCCACAAGAAGCCAAGAGCTGAGCAGAATTCTAGCAAGCCTGTGCCATGCCTGGGACTAATGGGCCTCTCCCGGCTCAGAGCAGCCACACCGGAGATAACGGAGGACTGGCAGCGGGGAGGGGGCTCCCCAGGGCAGATCACCCCTTATGCCGCCTTTGGCATCAGCTGCTCCTGGCCAGAGCCCCCCTTCAGCCCCCTGACCTAGGAGCTCTGCACTGGGGGACCAGGCCCCAGATCCCCTCCCCCCACCCGCCCCCGAGGCGGAGCTGAATTTCCCGGGTGGTTGGCGGGGGCTCTGACCGGCCCTGGGCTCTCCTGGCAGGGGCGCTGGCACCGGCGGGCTGGGCCTGGCCATCGAGGGGCCCTCGGAGGCCAAGATGTCCTGCAAGGACAACAAGGACGGCAGCTGCAGTGTGGAGTACATCCCCTTCACGGCCGGTGACTACGACGTCAACATCACCTTCGGGGGGCGCCCCATCCCAGGTAGGGGCTGCGGCCAGGCTGGGCCGGGGGATGGGGTCACTGTCACGGAGTCCCTGGGCGATGCTGCTCCCTACGAAGCCAGGCAGGACTCCGGGGAGTCTCCTCTCTCGGAGCAGACTGGCTCCAGGGCAAGAAGCTCACACGGCTTCACCTCCTGGGTCTGGCCTTGGAGCATTCAGCCTCCCCTGCCCCACTGTGCTTCCCCCAGCGAGTCCGCCCAGAGCGACTTTTTTTTATTATTATATGGCGATATACCTATCTCACAGAGCTGGAAAGTCATTGAGTCCAGTCCCCTGCCTTCACAGCAGGACCAA